TACAGGTCTCTGGAGGGAATAACAATAGTAATAATAGTGAGAATAACAATAGTAATATAGTAATTGGAAACACTGCCAGCGTCAAACCTGCAAGCGCCAGCCCTGCCGCGGCCGCGTTAGTCAGCAGGCTTCCCACAGCCAGTGCCGACATTGCGCACAGCCAGCGCGCTGGCTGACTGTAATACCACTACTAACAATAAAAGGCATAATGGTAACAACAATGATACCAATGAAAGTAATAACTGTAGATCTGAAGCCGGGCCTGTGATATTATGTCATTTTTGATTGGCCGACTCCGGAAACTAGACCATCTGTTCTCGCACGAGCGACTTTGGTCTTCGCCGGCAGGTTACTTTAAAGTGAGACTGTGATACCGATGTGCATTTGCGGGATTCCAGCATCTTGAGCACAATCACTTTCTGCGACGCTGACAGATGTGGAAGATTCCAGAACGGAGCATTTTCGAAAACAGCAGTCCCCCTTATCCACCTCAAAACGCCACAATCATCCGCAATCCCTCCGCTCAAGATTTCCAAGTCCCCTAACTTGTAAAGAGCCAAAATCATATGTATCTCTGCAGAACCCTTTCCAAGCGACTCCCTTTTCTTTCAAGACCTAAATGGGGCCACAGCATCTGCGTCATTTCTGGAGACTCGCCCGCCTTGCAGGAAAAAAAAAAAACATATTATGCAGGTTTGGTGGCGAAGCTCTATGATCAGGAATTCGGGTAAGGGGCGATTTGATCAACATGGCACAAGCTTCCCTTGCTGTTCAGACTTCTTCGTTAGTTACCGAGGACTTTCCGCTGAAGTTTTCTCTGCGCATGCACCACGTTCACTCGGGCGTTTTAAATATGGGGTTCACGATTCTGAAGATCATAAAGCCTAAGGGTCCAAGGACTCAAATAATGGGGTATTAGGGCCCAAATACCATTGATATTATAGTATTTGGGCCCTAGTACCCTATTATTTGAGTCCTTGGACCCTTAGGGAAAGGCCTAGAACCCTAAACCCGAATTTACATCCTGCACCAGGTCCTAACCCTTGCAGCCCAGCCTCCGACCGGGTAGGGGAGGCATCGGGAGAAACCCGGGGTGGTGCCTCAGAGACACTGCGCATACCTGTGTTTGATGTTTTCATGAGGACTTCAGGCTTCAGGCAAAAACTTTTGAATCCAGAGTAAGGCCGGGGCGGCTAGGAAGCATGCAGCTGCCATGAGCATGCTGAGCTGATTTTGGGGTTCGGCGTCCTGCTTGACCTCCCACCTCGCGAGATACACGCTGGTACTCTTTGAATGAGCGAGTCCGACTACTGCAACAAACCAAGCCACAGCAAGACATGCAAGTGCTCAACATGTACTTCCGAGTCTTCTCAATGCTGTCACTTCCGTTCTGCTAGTGTTTTCCAGGTGCCCTTTCCCAGCCGTTAGTACTTACGACTTCGTACCAATACGGTCATCATGGGGGCTCACGAGAAGAGACCTCAAACTTAAGGAAACCTCCATTTGATGCGCACACAGAATCGCAGCAAAGGCTTCAGCGGCCTGCGATTCAATGTCTTCTGAGCCTGTCTTCAGCTTCGAGAAACATGAGAAACGTCAGCAAGCGCTGGCACTGACCATGGGCTATCTTCAAAGCATTGGGCCCTTAACACTTTCAAGGAGTTCCACCTAAAATAGCACCTAGAACTTGGGTATTGCCCCCCCCGCCCTGTAACACTCCAGAAAAAAAGGGTGTCGAATAAAGGGCTATATATACCTGTATTATGCAAATTATCCAACTGTTACAGAGTGGGGGCAGTACCCAACCTAGAACTTTTGGGGTACCGAATAAATGCCTAATCTTGGATGCCAATCGTCTGCTCTCCCGCCTCCCCGTTCCGAACTGTCGTATACTCGCATCTAGTCCTGGTTCCTCCGCAAAATCTTGGAAAGAGTGACATTGGCAAGCGTGTGCCGCACCTAACGAAGGCATAGGATATTCACTTCACAACACACGTCCCGAAAATGTCTCAGATGATTAAAGTCAAAGTTGTTTTCGCGGTTGGCGGGCACCGTCTTCATTCAGCCTGCAGGGATGTGGTAGTTTTCCAAGAGGGGGGACCCCAACATAGATCCCAAACTACAACAGTCCTCATAATAAGGACCCCCCAAAAAAAGGTACGGCCAATTTTGAGAAACCCTAAGCCCTAAACATTAGTTTCCATTTTCTTTCCATTATCCCTAAATAACCCCTACATTACCCTCATAAACTCCCCTTAAAAGGTACCCTAATTTTGGAAAACCCTAAATCCTATAATCCCCTATATAATCCCGATATAACCCCAGTATACTCCTAATTTTGGGAAAACCCTCATGCGACCCCCGGCTCCTGCTTTGCGACCTGCCTGGCCCATGCTTAGTTGGGAATTGGGGAATGAACCCTAAACTTGTTAGGGTTTAGAGTTTAGGGTGTAGAATCTCCCAAAATCACCCTAGACTCGTTAGGATTTAGGGTTTAGGGTGTAGAATCTCCCAAAAACATCCTTACAATGCTTTCCCCAGCTCCAAACTTAGCATGAATAAGCCGCTGGAGCCAACAAAGCCCTTTGCAAGAGTACAAATTAGGGGTACCCTCTTGGGAGTCCCCATTTTATAAGGGCTATGATATTTTGTCGTCTATATTGGGCCCCCCTTATATTGGGAAACGACCATATAACTTCATATAACTCCCTACGTACACCAAGTGTTCATTTTATGTTCCATCTTCTCATCCATTTACGATTTTCCATTCTTGGGATTCTATACCCCAAGCCCTAAATAGTAGCTTCCATGTTCTTTTCCACTCCCCTCTTATATACCTACATAGCCCCTCTAAATCCTAAACCCTTAATCCTAAACCCTAAACCCAATTTGGGGAACTACCACACACGCTTTTGCAAGTCCTCCGTTCTTAGCACGCTGGAGACGGCACCTCCCAGGCTATGACGGAGGCTTTTCATCTCCCTTTTCTACCAGCATATCTAACTATGAGACGATGTATATATACATATGTATATATATATATGTACATATAGATAGATAGACAGATAGATAGATAGATAGATAGATATATATATATATCCATATATGCCTAGACCCTCCATCTACCCTCTGTAACCCCAAATAGGGACCAGATACCCTTATTCAAAGGATACAAGGAGGCTCCGGGCGTATGTATAGTAATCACGTGTATATGTACATAGCCATCTTCTGTGTACATGTATATACATGCTACATGTATGTAAACACTACAAGAGGACTTCTTCAAGACCCCCAAACAAAACCCAACATCTGCCTCGGCACTTCTCGATCGTCGGGTGCAAAGTTCTCAAGAACCTTCTGCCGCTGGTCCTCCTGGTGCTGCCTCAAGCATGCAGGTAGTGCAGAAACGCACACTGCACAGCAATGGGGGTTGCTGAGACAGGGGTGCACTTGGAAACCCTACGAGTAAACATAGAAAGGGAGGATGTGTCTCGGAGCAAGGAAACAAGATATGCTGCTGCAAATGGGGCGTGCATCTGCCTCTGCAGCTCACATTCGAGCCCCAAAGCCCGGAATATTTTGCCTACTTCGACCTGCCAGTATGGGTGCCTTGCACCAAAGCAAGTGGCAACTTTTCATGGCTTTCTGTAAGGGAAGTTGAGTATGTAGGGATCATGGACTTCCCCTTCGACAGTTAAACCGAACGTGTTTTGACAAACTCCCAAATCAGGGCTTCAAAAACTAGCTCCCACTTGTCTACCGTAAAGATATCCCCGTTGAAAGGAAAATCCAAAGAGCCCCCATCATTTCCAACAACCCCCTAGAGCCCTGAAACCCTGCATAGCCCTACAGAAACCCTGCATAGCCCGACAGAACCCTATACAACCCTAAATACTGACATATACAACCTAAGATAAAGTCACAATGTCACCCCGTATCATCCCGGGGGCTGAAACGAAGTTTGTAGCAACTGTCCCGGATAGAATTCCTGTTGGGGACACCCAGAATTCCGTACAATCCCTACATACATGTAGGGTGCCCAGAGCACCCTGATTCTGAGAAACCCCTACATACCCCCAAAACACCATGCAGCTGCCAGCGCGCCACTGACTGGGTTGCTGTTAAAGATCTTTAAACTAAGCTACTAAAACAAGGAAGCCCTATTATCTACTGTTTACCCATATTATGGTAACTTCATCTAAGTTCCTTACCAACCCTATTGATGTCCGACCTTCTTTAAAGAGTAGGCCCCCCCTCCTAACATTAGGGCCCTCCGAAAAATGGAAACTAGGGTCCTCAATATGCCCCCCCTGAGCTCCCACGGGTTCTGAGGTTCCTGTGGATTGATTTAGAAGGGATTGGTGAGTATCCTTCCTACTCAGGCACCCAAAATCAAAACACATTATAGGGGACCCTCAAATCATTGCTTTGATCCTGAACAAGCCGGCCCCAAAACACATTATAGAGGACCCTTTCAATAAAGCAGGTGGGACATTTCTTACTATATACCCACATTATGGTGACTTAGTTCAAGTTCCTCAACAGCAACCCAGTGAACCTGGGGCATGACTCCCTAAACCACGAAACCAAGTTTCTTAACAGCTAATAGGAGGTATATGGGGTTATACAGGGGTTATGTACGGATTATAAAGGGATTATATAAGGCGAATATAGGGGTTATATAGGTATAGGGGTTATATGGGGGCTATAAAGGGATTATATAGGCGTTATCTAGGGGTTATAACGGCAACCCAGGTGAGCCCCCAGCGGTAAGTAGACCAGCGATCTGTTTCGCTCGAAGAGAGGGCCAACCTGCTTCGAACTTACGAACTTTGGGACCCTTCAAACGGGGCTATATGGGCTATATAGGATTTATGTGAGGTATACAAGGGTAGTCAGGTTGCGAACTGAGAAGGGACACATGGGAAGTGATATGTAATCGAATTCTCCCTGGAGGACAATCGTATCCCCATACCCTCAACCCTAAGCCCTGGACCCTATAACCATAAAACTACTCCTCCTCTGGAAGTTTCTTGCCCCAATGAGGAACCCCCCCCTAGTCCCTATATCTCCCTAAGGTCCCTAAGGACCCTTAACCAGAAACTCCCGAAGGGTGCTACTAGCAGTGATGGAAGTATTGGGTCACTCTTAAGCTCTACAGGAAATTAGTTTCCATTGTCCATCACCTGTTCCATCTGATTGTTTATCCACCCTACCGGCAGCAATTAAGTGGAAGACGGTTCGGAAGCCACATACCATTAATACAGTTGTAATACTATTATTCCTAGGACTATTATTACTACTTCTGTTAGTATTTCAAATCTTACACTCTGCAAGGAGCCTTGAATCCGCAAGCCAGCAGCCACCTGACTCTGCAGCAACTCCAAGAAAAGTTTTATTCCCCCCGCCCAAAAGTTTTATTCCCCCCGCCCTTTAGTATTAAACGTCCCCCACCCCCACATATATCAAATATTCACGCTGTGCTACAGTCGGGAATGTCTAAAATAGGGGGGGGGAGGGGGGTTTAATATTAGGGAGAGGGGATTATGTTTGTAGTATAGGGACCTCCAACAAAGGGACCCCTGATTTATTGAAGCCACCATACTGACGAGAAGAAGCATCTTCTCAAGATGTTCAAGGGTCATGCACGGGAAAGTCGGTTCAAGTACTTTCCCCATAGTGCCCTGCCGCGAGCTAACATGGAAACTCATCCTAGACCTGGATGTTTTCGTAGCGCCATGGAATAGTAGCAGCAATAACAACAAGAACAGAAAAGTGATACTGGTCATACTGGTAGTTTCCCTAAATAGGGGGACCCCAATATCCTTACTATGGGGACCCCCAAAATGGTACCCTTAATTTTGGGAATCCCCCAATGCTTTAGCGCCATGCTTTGAAGGGGGCCCTGAAGCCCTATTATTTAGGTCCTTGGACCCTAATATAGTCCCAATGTATCCCTATACAGTCCCCCTATAACCCCGTTAAAGGGACCCTATCATTTGGGTCCCGGGACCCTTAGGGGAACCCTAAACCCTAAAGCTTCGGGTTTAGGGTGTCATCCCTGCACCCTAAGCCCCTGGGGGCACCACTTCTTGAAGCTGCCATCGTTGCGCTTGTCTGGACAGAACGGCGTATGTTCGTTGTTGCGCACAACCTGTCGGGTTTAGGGTTTGGGGTTTAGGGTGTAGGGGTATGGGCGGTATGGGGTTTAGGGGTGTAGGGTGTAGGGTTTAGGGGGTGTGGGGTTTAGGGACCCTAAACCCTAAACCCTAAACCCAATTTCCAGACCACCTGCCTGGTTGAACATGGTAGCAAATCGGGAGGAGAGGTTGTTCACCTGAGCGAACTCAGAGCTTGGTAACCCTAAACCCTAAACCCTAGAATGCCATATTCAGCACCAACTTTGCACTGACCCGGAACTTTCTGGATTGGGCTGAGAGCAAGTCCTCGATGGGATTGAATGCCAAGATTTCGCATATCCTGCCAACCAGATCTGCCTCGCAAGTTGCCGGCTCTGTACTTCGAGGGTCAGGGAGACTTATAGGGGCTATATAATAATCATGGAAAAGAAAATGGAAGCTACTATAGTATTTAGGGTTTAGGGTTTAGGGTCAGGGGGACTTAGTAAGTAGGTTAATAACCCCTATAACCCATAAAGTAAGCCCATTTATCCCCATTATTGACCTACTTACTCAGTCCCCATGACCTTGCAAGTAGGCGCTTTTAAGACTGGCCTTTGACCCTCAAATCACGAATACATCTGGTAGTTTCCCAATATAGGGGGACCCAATATAGACCCCAATAAATTATAGTCCGTAGTATTGGGACCCCCAAAAAGGTACCCCTAATTTTGTGAAACCGCCATGTATGCAATCATTGCAGCTATTTGGGAGGTCTAGGTGAGTCTAGGCCTCTCCCAGGCTACATGTCTGGGCCTCGCCGGGGACGTCGAAAGCCGGATGCGGCTTCCTGTCCCGGCGCATTTCATCAAGCCATCATGAGTCCCCAACTGAAAACAAGCGTGACTCCCGTGCTGAAGACGAGCATCAAGTAAGCATGTCCAGGCAACAGAAGGAGCAACAAAAGCACCCAGTTTTTGTCTCAGCTGATGCAGGAAGGCTCTTGCAGCAGTCAGTTCGAGAACGGAGTACGGCCTCCTGGCTGAGAGCCAACCCCCAAACTGTGAAGCCTGCATGGGTGCAACTGCACCATGGCCTCATATCTGCATTGCACTTAGCATCGCGCATGTTTGCTGCACACTGCTCCTCTGCGGGCTTATCCACTTCTCTGCACCTGCTCACTTGACCGGCTCGTTGTAAGGTGCTTGAACTTGGCGGGATCTATTCAGGTAATCAAATTTAGTCTCAAAACGTGCAAGGGTTGCAGGCAGATCTGGCAAGTCACAGACCTGGAGGCCATATATGCGCATATAGGGGCGTTTTCGAATTAAAGAAAAGCTAGATGGGTTCCCTAATATAAGGGCTGCTTAGGGATGATCGTTAGACTAGCAACAGGGAGAGAGGCAAAAACTGCACGTGCCTTGTGTCTGAATCCCAGCTGCTCCACCAGGCCCTGCAGGAAGGCCAAGCCAAGTGCTTGCAATGACGTTTTGCGCAGATGTTCTGGAAGGCTTGATAAACGAACAGCCTCAAAGAAGAATATCAAGGAACTGCACTCCTACGCAAGGATTTCCATAAAGAGACGCCCGTGTTAGTGTCGAACACGCTCTAGATTACGCGAAGTAGCCAGGGCAAGGCAACGAATGGCACTGGTGCATATCCCTGCCTGCACCGTTCCCATAGCTGTTTCACAAAATGCTTGCTGCGCCTGCCTGCTCGGAGCGGACCAATTTTCTGAGCGTTCTCATCAGTGTACTGTTCCAGCTTGCTTGGGGCACAGAGTTGGTGTTCAAATCGCGGCTCGTGAAGAAGCGCCACGCGATTCAACTGCCAGGCCTCGCAACTTCCCCCGCCGTTGGGTTTGCCGCCGGGCCCGCCAACAGTACATGGCTCAAGGAATCACCTTTGAGAAAGATCCAGGTCCACTACGTCTGGGGTTGCATGGAAACCGGAAGCTACGTAAGCCTCCCACGCATTGTAGCTTGTGCCAGGGGTGGAGGCAGATCCCTCAGATCCACCAAATCCTTGTTGGGCTGAGAACTGCCAGGCCCAACCAGCGAGAAACCCAGCCTCCGCGATGTAGTTGGCAACCAGAACGCCTACGCCAGGCACCAGAAGTCAACACCCTTGCTCATTTCTGGTCAGCCATGCGTTCACGAAATTATGTACCACATGCGCTGCTGCGGCAAGGAAACCCACTCCATACATCGAACATCCATGCCAGAAAGTCATGCCGCGCACAGTGAGCTACAAGAGCAGTCATTTTAAAGTCACGCGGCAGACTGCAGATCCCCTACTGCATCTGACTCCCACAAAATAACTCAAGTTTCCATTTCATTTCCCACTTTCTGTTCCGTTTGATTCTCTGTTTTTGGGATATGCTGCGACCTTGGACCTGGCCGCAATAACATGCAATAACGATAACGCTTGCACGGCGCAAGGGTTCTTCAAAAAGGTGCCACGGGGCACAGGCTTGCATTCGCGGAGATAGCAAAAATCCGTGTCCCTGCCTTGATGAAGCAGGCTCTTGCTGGGCCACGTCAAGATCCTGTCATAGCACCTAAGTCAGCCACAGAAAAACCAGAGGAGTACAGCCTAGAAAGCCGTGAGAGGTGGCCTTGTAGGCAGTGGCTCCAGGAGAAGGCTGGACTGCTGCAGGCGCTGCGCACGAAGCAATTCCTGTTTGAAACCAGATGGTGCAGCTGAAAAGAAACGTGGAGCTGAAAGTTATGGCTGCTTGCATCGGGCTACCAGGAAACATCCGGCAAGCTGCCAGGAGCCTTGCCATGACGCATGCAGAAGTAGGATCTTCCTACGCGCCTCCAAAATGACATTATCCTCAGGCTATCATCAAATCTGGGCGAGGGGCCAGGCGACAAGGATGAGAGGGCAGCACCTGCTGTGGCCTCATAGTGCCCACGCCATGTATGCAGGTGTGCTTGCAGACTCACGACGCCTCATTCGGGATGAGGTTGGAATGAGACATCACCTGACGGCAGTTCGGACTAGAAAGCAGTCATGGTGTTTCTCTGGCTCTTCGCATTGAGGGCAGCTTAGACTTCATACTCTGGGAATCCGGGCGGTATATGCTTGACGTTCAGGTTAACATGGTACGCAGTACAGCTATTGATTCATAAGCTTCTCAGAAGCTCTGTACTACATGGCATACACAGGCTCGAAACAGGTTTGAAGGAGCGTGCATCTTGCTTGTGAGCAATCACTACGAAGCTTTCGTTCAGACCCGAGCGTCCGAAATGTAATCCCTGAAATTCCCACGATCCCTATATACTCCCCTATGTAACCCCCCTTAAAGAAGTTCAGACTCTAGCTCATCTGAGTATCCCTTATCCCTGCGGGCAGGTAAACTCAACACGATTTGAGGTGATGAAAACGAGCAAGGTCGTACCTCTGGCTGTTGCTTACTGGTTCTTAGTAGGACATATGGAGTATAGGGGAATAATATAGGGTTTAGGGTTTAGGGTATAATATAGGGGATATATGGGGATAATGGAAAAGAACATGGAAACTACTACCTTTGTAATAGAGTATAGATACGGGGTATGCTAGGGAATCTGGGAACAAATTGTACAGGAGTTATATAGGGATTGCATTCCCATATTCCCTACTAGGAACCAGTAAGTCTTGCTGTTGAATTTTACAAAACTGTGTGAGGCTAAGTGTGCATTGTATATTATGTTACCCGGGAGCCAAATTCGTGTCAAGTTCCTCGAAAGCACTCTCCATAGGTATGCAAGTCTCCGGCACTTGCAAAGGTATCCCTGAACTGAAGCTGATGCCTCGGACAAGAGGCCAACATCCGGATTTGTAGAGTGAAACTCGAGATTGATGAGACTGCTCGAAAGTACTTCAGTGGAATGTACTTAGAATGTGGGCTGAGCGCTGGGAAGCTGAGTGCCTCTTTTCATCAGATCAGCAGCTTCTTAGCCACTCTACGAAACTAAGCCGAGACCAAACGCGCACCTTTCTCTGAGCACCGACGCCGAATTACCAAGTTGTGGCACTTTGTCCATACCTAAACCCCAAAAGTATGTAAAATAATGGCCCTAAACCCATAATCATGGCCATAAAGGCCATTATTTTACATACTTTTGGGTTTCTTATAGTAGCCCATTATATTAGTTTCCATTTTCTTTTCCATTATGTTACATACTTTTGGGGTTCAGGTACACTAGGCTAGCAGCAGCGTCTTATTCTTCAGCGCCGTCAGCAGCTTGCTCGCCGTCATCGTCCTTCTTGCGCTTGCGGCTCACTGTGCCTGCTCACGGTGGACTATCCCTAATTGGTCCAAGGACCTTTTGGGCCCAGAAACCCCATTATTTGTGTCCTTGGACCCTTAGGGTATGCTGGAAAGGGAGAATGTCTGAGTCTAGCAATCGTATTGCCAGAAGCCGCGCGTCCTATCACCCCAGCGTTGGCAATGTTAAGTCCAGCAAAAACCATCAAGGACTATAGCGCCCGGAAAACAACAATGAACAGCCTGTTATGAAATACTGTCTTGGGGCTCGATAAATGCAAGTAAGCCCATGGACCCATGATGTCGACGTAGATTCTTTGGCAGCAGTCATCCCCTCAGACCCTAAGCCCCAAAACCTACAAGTCAAGACTCCCTAAATCATCAACCCCCTCGACCTCAAATCCCAAACCACCCTCTTCTGCATCCTTGATTTTCGCCCGGCCTGACTTCTCAGAGCTGCCAGCCGCTTCCTCAGATACTCCAAGTGATCGTGGGCACATGGTCTAGGATGTAGGCTTGACCATAGTAATTAATCCCGTGGAGTTCTGGATTCAAGGTTAAGAGTTCGAATTGCTCACAGACAGTTTTCCTTTGGGGAAGCAGAGCAACAGAAACAACGCTGCATCAACGACTCAACCCGTGCCTAAGGCCGCCGGGAGCGCAACGCTCAAAACGGAGCCGTTATATAGGGACATTTTGGTTGTGCAGGGTTATATATAGGGATGTATATATAGAGGTATATAGGGTTGTATAGGAATGATGGAGAATAGAATGAAAAAGAACACGGGAAATTAAATGGAAAAGGACATGCAAAATAAAATGGACGCAACGCCACTCTCATTCCATCCCTATGTATACACCTGTAGTTCTTCTAGATCTTCTACCCTTCAACCTTCACACAATCGTGCAGTCCCTCTGTAGCCCTACGATTCCGATCTAGCCTGCCTGCACCTTGAATGTCCTTCCAAATTTTTGGGGCTGGAATAAGGCATAGCGCTTTGAATTTGTTGAGAGAGGTTACGTACCGCGTGAACTTGACAACGACGAGCATAGAAAGGTACATTCCTGAAGAAAGGCCTGTGCTCGTGCACGTCTACATCCGCAAAACCCATCCCTCAACGGACAATTCCATCGTTGCTCGCTTCAAAAGGCTCTGACTGGCCAAACGGAGAACCCATTGCATCTTTAAAGCCCCAATATAGGTTTAGGGTTTAGGGTTTAGGGTTTAGTAGTTTCCGGCTTCTTTTCCATCATCTCTATAGTATTTTGGGGGGTATATGAGGATAATGGAAAGGAAGATGGAAACTCAATGGGACCTAGTAATACGAACCATACTAACAATACGAACAATATTACTAGTAATCATACTAGTAAGAATAATAATACTAATACATCATCCTACAACCCAAGAAAAATATAGTAGGTTCCATTCTTTTCCATTATCCCAATATAAGACAGTTGCCTTTAGGGGTTGATTTGAAGGTCCGGGTCACAGTTGGAACCTAATTCCCCTTGCTAGGTCCCATTTAGTTTCCATGTTCTTTTCCATAATCCCTAAAGTATGGGGGTAGATAGGGATTATGGAAAAGAACATGGAAACTACTATAGTATATTGGGGTTTGGAAGGGCTGGAGAGCTCTCTGACATTTCATATAAGTAGAACAAATTCCTTTTGATGGGTTTGGAAGGTGACTTGAAAAGCACGTATTCTAGTCAACCCTAAACCCTAAACCCTATAAACTAAACCCTAAACCCTAAACTCCAAAGACACGATTTCTTTCATGGCTCCCGAGTCCCGGGAAAACAGTCTTAAACTCGAAATTGCAGTTTCCCAAGAGAAGGGGACCCCAATTTAGACCCCAAAATACGAAAATCCTTATTCTAGGAACCCCCCAAAAAGTACGCCTCATTTTGGAAACCACCCAAATCCGAAATCCGGAGCCCCAAAGGTGAAACCCGCGTGATACAGGGAAGTGATGGGCGAGCTTCTGAACCACCTTCTGCTTCGAAGTCCAAGCCTGGAGAGCTAACAATGGTCTATATAGGGGTACACAAGGGGGGAATTTTGGGATTAGGGTTTAGGGTTTAGGGCTTTAGGGTTTAGGGCGGGCATATTAACGTTGTGGTATATCGCAGTGGCGCATATGTAGCAGCCGTAAGAAGGGTATGCGGTATGCACAGCAAGACCCGTGATGTAGCATGAGAAGGGGATCCCGCAATCCCTATATAACCACCAATGGTAGAAATTAAATTCCCTCCCCGACTCTCCAGGGTTGCTGTTAGGGAACTTAACTTAAGTTACCATAATGGGTACATATTGTGATTAATATGGTCCGCCCATTCTAGTAAGTTAAATTTAGCTCATTAACAGCAACCCTATCTCCCTCCCTAAACCCCAAACCCCCAACCCCAAAGAAGTTCTACACCCAGCCTGGGCCAGGAAGCAGTTGCAATGCTGGCGCCACCCACTCCTGGGATGGGCGCATGACCCATTTTTTTTTTTACGCGGTTTAGTGTTCATGTAGGGTTTAGGGTACGGAGATTATATAGGGCATGTAGGGAGGATAAAACAGGGGTCATGGGGAAAAAGAGGAATAACACGGGATCAAAAGAGCTATAGTCTAAACTCCTAGTATCCCTCGAGATAAACCCTATAGTACACCCCTATAAAACCCCTTGGAAGGAGTTTAGACGATAGCTCAAATTGAGTTTATGCTGTATGTGAGACTGCTACCAGATGCAGGTGGTGTTTTTCTTCTCTTACTTTTGTTGACCTATCTAGTCGCCTAGAATTAAAAAACCTGAGCGAGAAAGTCCAGTCGTAGTTTCCCAAAATAGGGGGACCCCAATATACTAAAGTCCTTATTACGGGGACCCCCAATTGCCAAAAAGGTACCCCTATTTATGGGAAACTCCCAGTGGCGAGGGCGTCAGGGATCCCCTACACCCTTAACCCCATGCTTAAACCCTACAAGGCCTTAACCCCCCAGCGCTCTACAGCCCCTGAACTCTCACACTTTTGCACTTGAGGCCTGGCCAAAGACGCCACCCCACTTCTTTGGTACAAGACCTGCGCTGCATGATTGGAATCTGCAGTAGTCTAGGGTTTTTGGGGGTCTGGGCCTTCAGGGGTTCAGGGTTTAAGGATTTGGGGATTATGGGATTAGACTTGAGAATCGTAAGGATTCAGCGTTTAGGGCCGGGCTTTATGGGTTGGACTTCGCTAGGCTCCTGATGAACGACTCCCCTTCTCAACCTCGGGTTTGGGGTCTATAGGGTTTTCCCAAGCATGGAACTTGGACAAACTACTCGGCGCTTGATAGGGAATCAAGGAATGGATCAGTAGTCCATATCATCCATTCCCCAGTACACTACTAAACCCTAATCTCCAAACCCTAAACCCCACTAAGCACCAAGGAGTGAACCCTATCGACTGTAGGATGCTACTAGGCAGCATAGGAGACCATGAGAAGGAGGTGCAAAAAACCGAATGCCTTTTGGGCGCCTTACATGGGCGGTCTGCATCAACAGGGATATACCAAACTACTCTGATCCTTACTTACTAGACGGACTCCCCAAAAGGCGTCCATGATCAGCGGAAAACCCCGCAAAGAATCGTGGTAGTAGTTTGTTGTGCACCGCGCGGACCCCTATCCCACAAACATCTGGATAGCCCTGGCTATGCAGGGGGTCTCTTCAGGCTGCTACATATCGCCGAAACGATGCAACCCAAGGGAATTCGAAACCACCACAACTCATGCATTCCGTCCTCCAAGCACGCCGGCACCTAGGGCAAAAGCCATAGTAGCCAAGGCCGCACGGGCGTATGCATCCTTTGCCAGGGCAACCATGGCCCGTGGGAAGGTGTACCTGAGGAGAGAAGGCTCCCTCGTGCTTGCTAAGGAACGAGGAATGGATCGCAAAAGAACTGCGGGCATACTCCCCTGCCCTGCCTGCTAAAAAACCCTCAGAGATGCTTCCCTGGTTCCACGACTGAGATCCAACCTGCTGCTCTATTGTGAAATGTGACAGAATCTTGGACAGGTCTCCACACCTTCACTTCCCTGCGCTTAAAAACCTTTCTTTGCAAAACAGTCTTTCGATTAAACCCTAAACCCTAAACCCTAAACCCCGAGTGCCAGTCGTACACATCCTCCGGATCTTCCTCATCGACATCGGCCGCTGAGCCAGCTGGTGGGGGATTTGCCGCATAGAGCGCGTGCAGCAGAATTGGCATGCCAGGGACAGCAATTGTCACAGGCGCAATGTTCAGAGTTGTTAGCTCCTCCTCTTCAATCTCCTGGGTTGCTGTTAAGG